CCCCCAAGAAGACTGCACCTCCTAATTCTCCCCCAACAGTCCACCACTGGAGACCATGTAATCAAACATATGAGCCCGCTGGGGCAGGGTGGGGGGTCTCATTCAATACACACACACACACACACACACACACACACACACACACACACACACACACACTGCTCACTGACTTTATCCACTAGGAAAATGCAAACAAACACCACATTCAGATGACTCTGGCTCACCCTGGTCAGAGCAACTGTGGTAAAGAAAGCACACCAATTCTGACAGGATGCAGCAGGGTGAGATGCCTGCATGCATTTTTGGTAAAAATCAATTAGTCCAGCACTATGGCAGTCAGTTTCCATATGATCCAACCATCCCACTTCTGGGTTTGTGCCCGGAGATGCCTGCATGGCCGTGTTTATCCTACATTCTTCCTAATAGCCAAGTCAGAATCAGCCTGGGTGTCCTGTGACATAAGAATGGATAAAAATGTGGTTTGTATATATGATGGCATTTAATTCAGTCACAAGAACAAAAGTGTCATTTGTGGCAATTGGAGGATTGGAGATGGCGCTGTGTGGCCAGTCCCACAAACACAGGTGTCATATGCTTTCCCTAATAGTACAGAATGATGTGAGACTAAAAGGTGGACTAGCAAGAAGGGGATATAGCAAAATATATAGTGGGGTGAGTATAATCAGAGCTCACTGGGCAGGCATGGGCATGTCTAATAGAACCCTACAGTTAATATCTGAAACAACAGATTATTTGGGGGGTTGGGGTTTGAGACAGGGTTCCTCTGTGTAGCTCCTGGCTGTCCTGGATCTCACTTTTGTAGACCAGGCTGGCCTCGAACTCACAGAGATCCACCTGCCTCTGCCTCCCGAGTGCTGGGATTAAAGGTGTGCGCCACCACTGCCCGGCTCACAACAGATTTTTAAATTAAAATCACATCTCACTTTTAAAGAAGATACACAGATTGTCAAAAACAAACAAACAAACAAACAAACAAACAACAACCCATGGGAAAAAAGGTAACACGGGAGCCGGGCAGTGGTGGCGCATGCCTTTAATCCCAGCACTCGGGAGGCAGAGCCAGGTGGATTTCTGTGAGTTCAAGGCCAGCCTGGTCTTCAGAGTAAGATTCAGGAAAGGCGCAAAGCTACACAGAGAAACCCTGTCTCGAAAAACCAAAATAAATAAATAAATAAATAAATAAATAACATGGTGAGTCATTAGGGAAAGGAAAATTAAACAAGCAACATGACCACTTACGTATTGAAACACCCCAAACTAAAGGTGGGTCATGATGAGAGATATTATCAGAAGCCCAAGAGGGTACAGTGACCGGCGACTGGGGATGTATGCCACTCAACACTCAGTGATCTTCACTTAAGATTAAGATCTATGCATTTCCTTACATGTACATGTTACCTCTGGGGGCGGGGGACGACTCTGCAATAACATTCAACCAGAGGGAATAGCATGTATGCTAAGATACTTGGGGGGAAGCTTGCTGGTGTTCGCAAGGTTTTTACAATGTATTTTAAAAGTCCTTTCATAGATGTAACTAGGCAGATAGGTATGTGCCAGTCCAAATGTAATAAAGCAATTACAGGAGAATGTCCGGCTGCATGCCAGTGTTCAGTCATACTCCCAATGCTGGCAGGGTAAACAGAATTCTGAAAAGGCCATTTGCCCAGTGTTTTAACTATCTTCTAGGCATTGTTTCACTGTTTGTGAACTTGGACCTGACAGTTATTCACTCTTAGTGATGGCTCTGCCACCTTGTAACATTTTACACTGTGTGTGCAGGCTGCCCCGGAAAATTCTCACCGTTTACTTTCCACTGGTAAGTTTGTGGTAAGACTTGCCACAGCAGCTACAGTAGCCAGGCAAGAACAGGGGGGCCCTGGATTTATTTTGAACCTTTCCTTTTACTTCATTCCCGATTGACACAGGATGTTTAAATTCATGTCCATTTTGTGATGATCAGAATGATTAACATATTCATCATGCAAAACGTGAATGTCTTTGGGTTAAGGACATTCAAGCTAAATTCTAGCTATTTTGAAATCTGCATCATTAACTTAATTCCTCCTAATTCTTAGTACCTATAGACCAACCCCACAACTCCTTCTCCCTCGTTTCCCAGGCCCATTGGTAGCCACATCTCTCTTCTAGGGTTCTGAGATCAGCTTTTTTCCATTTTATATGCAGTTGAGGTCCAGGTCCTTATACACCAGCTTTATCTTCAATAGCTGTCTCATTTTAACAATGTTGTGCTTCCCAGCACCCATCACAAGAGGGCAGCAGAGGATGCTGATTTGAAGCTGAATCACCATCAAAGTTGATTTCCCTGGGCCCACCACTGGACAGAATCTCAGGTCCATCCAGCAGAGGACAGTGGCTTTTCTGTCAGCACTCCTCTGGGGACCCTCTTTTCCCAAGACAGGACAAGGGTGCAGAGTCCACTGTTCAGAAAGAGTCAGGCTAGTGGAAGTCCTGCATCCAGAGAAATCAGAACTGACCAAGGACAGGCCTTGAGTTCCCAAACTCAGGGCAGGAGCTCTGGCTCAGGGAAAAGTGGCCAGACTTGCAGACCCCACCAGCATGGGAGGCTGGGGAAGCTGAAGTGACTAAGTCACTGTCATTTTGTCCTGACTCATTTTGTGTCTACTTAGAAACTTTTCGACCCTGCCCCCAACCCTGCACATAGACCTTGGTTAACACATCTGGGATTGTCCATGACTCTGACCATGGTCCAGATGCATTAACCAAAATAACCATTTCAACAAACCAAATATAAAAATCACAGGAAAAGATATAAGTAAAAAAATTTACCATGTGTCTGAAATTACGTCCTGCCAAAATAGATGTTGCAAGGTTACTCTGACCCTTATCTAAGATTGATGTAGTTGTGGTCTTTTTAAGAACACTGTATGCTCACGCTTTGGCACCAAGAGTCTGTCTGGGTGCTAGCCAAAACAAAGTACTCTGATTTGGCCTTCCATGCACGGTGGACTGCAACCTCTACCATTGAGGTATGTATGCTCTACCAGTGAGGATCAGACCAGAGCTGACTCAAGGCATGCCACCCAAGAATGGAGAGCCACTCCAGAGAGCAGGAGAGGACCAGCCAGGGGCCGCCCCTTACATAGTGCTCATCAGCACAAATGGCAGCAGCCTATCCAAAAATAAAAAAAAAAAAAAAAAAAAAAAAAAAACACTAGGGGTAGAACCTGCAGCCCTCAAGACCTGCCCCACAGAAGAGAACAGTTACTCAGCCATCTTAAAACTTAGTCCTCTCTTCAACACCGGGCACTGGGAGGAAGGGAATGTGAACAGTAATCAACAAACATGCACCAAATGTGGTGAACGAATTAGTTTATTGGGGTTACATACATGAGTATGGGGAATGAGTTACAGGAGTGGGAATGTCACTGCAAGCCCACCCCAGTAGGAAGCCCTGAAGCTTTCTGTATGACTTACAGGCATCTCCAGGCCAGAAAGTCTTTCAGAGGCCGCTTGTGTGAGCTGCCTCAGCAGTCATCTAAGCTTAGGGAAGGGGAACTTTGTGCGGCTGGTCAATTTCAGGAACTTCCTAAGACTTTCTTGTGAGCTCCTTCCTGAGTCTAATCCAGTCTCCCTTTAGAACTTTCTAAGTCTCAATGTGCTTATGAAGGGAACTGCTACACAACAGAAAACATGATCCATAGACTCCCATAAGAGATGAGGATTAGTTTCTGAGGCTGGAGAGATGGTTTAGTGAGAAATAAATGCCTGCCATGGAAGTAAAAATGACCCGAGTTTGAATCCTAACACCTACATGACAATGGATATGGTCATGCAAATCTGTGACCCTAGAGATGGGGGTGTAAAGATAAGTAGATCACCACAGCTCATTGGCCAGCTGACCTAGCCAATCAGTGAGCCACAAAAGATAGAAAAGAACAATGGAAGACACCTAATGTCAACCTCTGGCATAAGGAGTCACACATATGTGCACATGGAGCACATCCACATGTGAACATGTTTGCACACACACAGACACACACAAAAGTATTTCCTGGCAAAATGATAGTGCCCAGTGCGACAACTGCTGAAGAAGCTGCCACTTTCCGAGCTCCTTCGCCGTGTTTCAGGCAGCCCTCGCATTCTCCAGCAGAGACCTCAGAAATGGCTCACAATGGAAGCATGCTCCCGTCACAATGTTTCATCAACATGTATCATGACATTTCGGATTCCAAGTGTAATGTTATAGCTATCGCTGGTAGCGAGAATGGCAATGACTTTAGAAAGATTATATTTCCCCGGCTATACAACCTGCTGGGACATTTGGAAAAAAAATAGGACATCACACATCAGCTTTCCCTGTGGATTCAAGTGAATGTATCCCCATGACCACTGTCCCTTATACACACTCTAATGCATCTAAAATCACACCTTCAACATATTCTAAGAAAGAACTCATGGCTGCCAACCCTAAATCATCTAAGACAGGAAGGAAGCTTGAAGAACAGAAAAACCCTGATGTGATATAATTAGAATGTAGTGGATATCTGTTCTATCTATGACTGTGGTTATATATTGTATATCCCAATATATTGTGTGCCCTAATAAAGCTTGCCAGGGGATCAGAGGACAGAACCAGCCACTAGATTAGACATGAGGCCAGACAGTGGTGGCACACACCCTTAATCCTATCACTCGGGAGGCAGAGATCAGTCTGGATCTCTATGAGTTCAAGGCCACACTGGGAACAGAGCCAGGTGTGGTGGCACGCACCTTTAATCCTGGCACTTGAGATCTCGTGTCTTTGCTTGGGAAGCACACACGCCTTTAATCCCAGGAAGTGACATGGCTGGGTGGAGAACAGTATATAAGGCCTGAGGAGACAGGAACTGAGAAGCCATTCAACTGAGACCCTCAAGGCTGAGGACTCAGAGGCTTTCAGTCTGAGGATTCGTGGAAACAGGATCTGCTAAGGAGTTGGCAAGGTGAGGTTGGCTGTGGCTTGTTCTGCTTCTCTGATCTTTCAGCCTTCACCTCGATATTTGGCTCCAGGTTTTCTATTAAGACCATTTAGCAATTCATGTTACATATGACCTTGAAGTACCTGCCCCTGGGGAATGGCCTCTGGGCCACCCGTAAGACCTGAGACACATGTACCCTGGTCTCTACTCTCCCACGTGGGCTTGGATGGTGCGGACAGACTCAGGTGGCTGGAGCAGCAGAGGATAGTACCTCACCATTCCAGGACCCTATGACGATTCTCCTATTCTGTTTAGAGAGTTTTCTTTCCTAATAAATTCCTTTACCCTTTAAGCAGACCCCAGTGGATTTCTTGCTAAACCGGAAGAATAGTATAAGAAGACAGGAAGCAAGCAAGCGTTGGTGTGGGGAAGAACAAAACCTTCACATGGCTGGAGAAGGATGTCTGACTACTGCTGTGAATGTGATTCTCAAGGGACCTTCCCAGGCGGGTAATGACACTGGAGAGATGTCTTACAATCACCAGGAAATCATGCTGCTATTGCAAAGACAGAGCAAGTCATAGTCGGCTCCTGTATGTGACGAGTGTTCAACGGAGCCTCGGTAAAAGCCATGGGAAAGCAAGTCAGAGACCAGACAAGGTTAAACATGCCAGGCTTCACCCTCAAAAGGGCAAGTTCCAAGAAAACGCTTCTCTGAAAAAAAAAAACAAAAGCAAAAAATCAGAGTGGGGGATGTGTGGGGACAGAGTCTTTCAGTTTGTGCTCTACACCCTTACTTGTGTGAAGTGCTTCTACTTGGCAAAGGCTATCACTGCTGAGAGGCCCTGCATCCAGCGCCCTCTGTGGCCTGAGTGTCTCTAAATACACAAGGGACTCAAGGGCTCACCAAAGTGGAAGGCAGTTCAGACGCTGCTCAAGTTCTCCTGGGAGATCACATGCTTTCCTACTCCATCAAAGCTTCGCAGACACAAGAAGACAGAGCTCTCCAAAGTGGACCATGGAATCTTCCACAGAGAAGACAGGGTAGAGGCCTCCTTAGGTGTCCAGGGAAATGTTCTGCAGACCATTAAAGATGTAAATGATTAAAATCAAGTAGCAGGAACAGACCCACAAGGAAACAAAAGTACCAATAAGCTATGTTCACAGGAGCCTCTGCCTTCTGCTATGCCCAGCTCACTGAGGATGCCACAAGAGAAATGCATTTGCCAGAAGCAGAAATCTTGGCTTATGATAAAGTGAATGCCCAGGAGAGTAGAGGCTTTCTAAAAAACGGACTAATTGAACAAACTGAGTCTGTGTTCCAGTTTACAGTCTGTTGGGATAAACTCCATGACCAAAAAACAACCCAAGGAGGAAGGGGTTTATTTGGCTTACAGTTACAATTTCCCATCAAAGGAAGCCAAGGAACTCAAGCAGGCCAGGAGACTAAAGCAAGATCGGAAGCAGGGCCTATGGAGGAGGGCTGCTTACTGGCTTGCTTTCCATGGCTTGCTCAGCCTGCTTTCTTCCTTTCTTTTCTTTCTTTTCTTCCTTTTCTTTCTTTCTT